ACTTCTAAGATATCTCGTACTGACAACATTTGTTTACCGTACTTAATATTTAGGTATTTGTCTATTGCAGCAAGGTGTGTCTCATTTTCTTCTTCCACTTTAAGTATTGCCGAGCATCTTAGATTATTGTTTCTTGTCTCATTAAAGTTTTGGTTGATATCAAACAGCATGTATTCGCTTCTATGCTCTACATTAATGAGACCCCTACCCATTTCTGTTCTTGGAAAGTATAGCCTTTCTTTACAGGCTGGCTGTAGGTGGATATGGTGTTTGATTAACACCTGGCGAATTTGAAAGTCTAGAGCTTGGAAATCGCTTGGTTCTAATTGAATTACGCCAATATGATTATTTATTACTGAGATCGCATATTCATTTATCACTTTAATCATGTTTTTTCCATTTAGCTTTGTCTTGCATATTGTCTCAGTTCTTTTTAAAACTTCGGCTTTTACTTTTTCAAACGTTTCCTTTTTTACTGCACTTGTTGCATCCTCCGTTATTCCTAGGTATTTGTACCCCTGTGTCCCTTCTGATTTGACTGCATCTTGTTCACACCTTTCACTGTTGGTTGCAGATTTCTCTTGATTTACCTCCAATCCTATCGTTTTAAAGAACTTCTTCGTCTCCTCATTCAATACTAATAATGTTTCCTCTTTTTCACACAAATAAGTTTTAGATCATCTACAAACAGAAGATAGTTCGTATTCAAGAATTCTTCCCTAGTCTTTATTCCAACCGTAGGAAACTTTGAGTTGAGCTTTGAGTTGACCAATACAAAGTACAAATAACAACGGAGAGAGGCTATCACCTTGAAGTATTCCTCTCTTAACCCTTATTTCCACTATCGTTTCACATCCTGATTTCACTTAAATAGTCCATTTATTTATTATTCCTATAAGGAAATTTACTATCCACTTTGGCAGATTAAGCCTTTCTAAACAAGCTGTAAGGCATTTATGCTTTACTGAGTCGTATGCTTTCTTAACATCAATTCACATGATAGATAGTTTATTTTTATGTTCAATATTGATGGCCTTATTCAAAAGTGCTTGTTCTTTTGCTCCTTGGACTTTTCTAAGTGTTCCTAGTTGGTTCTCTGCGAGCATTCCACGATTCTCCACGATTATTTGAAGTATTTTGGTGACACATTTCGTCATTAACTTATAAAGGTTTGACATACGGTACTTACAAAGGTTTGTCTAAAGTCCCCACCTTTTGTAAGGGTTCCTTTAGGTATTAGGTACGTTATTCCCTTGTAAAGCCATGGTTCTCCAATTTTGCCTTCTATGCACATTTCTCTCATTATATCATAAAGGAATGGATGCAATAGCTCACATTTCTTTATAAAGAAGTTATATATTCCATCGCAGCCAGCCGTCTTCCAGTTGGGAAGATATTTGATTATCTCAGTAAACTCATTGTATAATAGAAATGTATTTACTTCATTTTCTGCAGGTATAAACTCAAATAAGTATTCTTTGAGATCTGTTTCGTTCATCTCTTCATTATCTTCTTCCCACATCTTTGACCAAAAATTCTTTATTTCTTCATTTTTCACTTGATGCTCTACGACTTCCGATTCCTCAAGGTTTCTATAGAAATTACTTCTATACAGTTCAAAGCTCTGATTTTGTCGTCTGTACTCTCTTCTTTGTTCAGATATCTCTGGCTTTTTCTGATATATAGCAGCTTTTTCTCCAAGTTTTGCTATGGCTTCAGTCAAGTCCCGACCTAAACATGCCTTGAGGTTTAGTTCTCTCATTATTTTTTGCAGTAGTTTTCTCCTTGTCTTTCAGTTCTCCAAACATCCTGACCTTCTTTAAGAGAGCTATCTTATCTTTAAGTGCATCGATTTTCATATTTATATTTTCTTTCCCTTTTGACACCTTTGGTTCCTTTTTCGTAATCTCTTGATAGCAGGCTTGGGCCGATTGAAGTATTCGCGCTATGTCTTTGATTACTGCCTCAAGACTCATCATATCCACTTTCATTGAAGGGATCTTTCTTGTTCTCTCCACCTCTTCGATACTAACCATCCTCATCTAAGCCATTTTCTCTTTATAGATATTATTTGCCTCATAGAAGACTTTTGTCTCGTATAGTGTTCTCTCTTCTAGTAGATCTTTAATCGTCTTGCTATATATAGCAGCTATATAGATTCTACAGAAGAGAATAGATTCTAGACAGAAGGTATATATATTCAAATTCAGCAG